AGCTTCTGTGAATGTTTTAAAAAAATATCATGAAAACTGTGTGTGTGGTGTGTGCGTGTGTGAGACAGAGAAGTGTTTACATTGTCTGATACATTATTTTTAATAAGCATACATTAAGCAATTTCCTTGCTTAAGGCCAGTCTTGTTAATTCCAGTTGTAAACTTTTATACTATGTTAAGTACAGTATTTCAGAAAAGTATTTCTAGAATTGGGATGACATTTATGCATTAAGATAATAATGAAATAGAAGTTTGCTGCCCTTATATAATATGTTACAAAAAAGCAGAGCAGTGCACTTCATTGCTATACAGGTAGTCCTTGAGTTATAACCATTTAAGAAATGTTCAAAGTTATGACTGCGATGAAAGAAATAATGTACGACTGTTGCAGTGTCCCTACGGTCACACAATTGCAATTGGGGTGCTTGGCAACCAGCATGTTTTTATGATGATTGCAGTGTCCAGGGCTCCTGTCATCATGATTTGCAAACTTCCCAGCTGGCTTCTGTCAAGCAAAATCAATGGAGGAAGATGGATTTGCTTAACACCCCATGATTTGCTTAATTACTATGGCAAATAAATAAATAAATAAATAAATAAATAAATAAATAAATACAAGTGATTTGCTTAATTACTATGGCAAATAAATAAATAAATAAAGTGGGGTCACCTGATCACTTACTTAATGATTGCATCACTTAGTGATGGAAGTTCCAGTCCCAGTTATGACCGGAACCAAGGACCACCGCTACACACTCTATGGATTCTTCAGGAGAACAAAGTAAGGCATACCAGTAAACCAGTGATGGTGAACCTTTCAACTCAGTGTGTCAAAAATTTATTAAATATCTAACTTGACATGCTGGCATCTCTCTCTCTCTCTTTCTCTCTCTCACACACACACATACACGCATACAGACACATATCAACAAAAGAGAAACAATTCTCTATTCCTCCGTCTGAAATCTAGGCCATGCTGAACAATGGCAGTCAACAGCAGCACTGAGGCTGGGTCTGAAGTCAAGGCTGGAGCTTCAACTTTGGCCCTAGCATCACTGATGTTACTCAAAATGTGTACAATCCTTTGGGATCGGTACAACTGCCCCACACCCAGCACTCCCCACTTATATTCAGATGGTGTTCTCTTTTTGTTGACAGGTCCCTGTGGCCTACTACCTGAAGTTCCTCTGGGGTTGCACAAGGCCTTTGTTCTTGACATGGCTTCATAGACCTCCACAGCCTCCAAAAAACACCCTGTTCTCCTGCAATTTTGGGAGGGTTCAGAGGCTGCCCCAGAACACATCCTATTCGCACATGCTCTCCGCAGCCTGTGAAAAACATGCCCCATTCTCACATATCCAATTCTTGTACAATTTTTGAGGCACCAGTGCCCACATGAGAGCATATCCCATTCTCCTGCAGCCTCCAAAAATTACACAAGAACAGGGCATGCTTTCAAGAAATAGTTGTTGGGTGTTGGTGAATATTGGCATGTCACATAAAATGCTGTTAGCACGTCATCTTTGACACACGTGTCATGGGTTTGCCATCACTGAACTAAATAGACACTGCCTGCTCCGGAAAAACTCACTACCCCTTCATCTAAACTAGGCTTGAAGTTTCTCCAGGAAATATATGCCTCTTCCCTATTATTGTATTGGTCCCAGGTGGCATTTTTAAAGCATTCTGAAAGCATCTTAAATTACTTTCAATCAGCTAGCCTTATAAACTAAATTAATGATTAAAGACATTTAAACAAAATGTTTCCTCAACTCTGTCCTACAGAATAGCTCTTTGAACATGAAAACACAACACAGTATATATGGGAAAGTCTCTCCAAATTTAATCTTTGCAACAATTCAGTGTAATGTGTTGGTCTGAGAAAATATGACTAGCCCAAAGTCACCACTGACCTCTGCAACTGAGTGGGCACTTGATCTATCGCCAAAGCCTTAACTAGTATACTACACTGGCAATCTGTGCTGTATACATGATATTTAAAGTATATTTATGGAGCCACGTTAAGAAAAGCTGTGGGACTTCCTTTTGGCAGTTACCAACTTAACAATCTCTTTGTATTGCTAGGATATTTTGATCAATGAAGGGATCAGATATTCTAGGAAGAGAGCTGTGTTAGTCTATGGTAGCCCAATATCAGAAGAAAGCTAGTAGCACCTTTCAGATTAACAAATTTTATTAAGAGATATAAGCTTTTGTAAACCATGACTCTCTTCATCAGATGCAATACAGTATAATGAAAGGGTGATAATACACAAGCAATTTTTCACCCAATTGATCAGCAATACCCCTCTGACTCATTCCAATTTAAATCTGACATCAATCTAGCCACTCCATTGCATCTGATGAAGTGAGCTATAGCTCACAAATCTTATGCTTCAATAACATGAGAAAACCTTAGTTTGAAAATGTACTACCAGATCCCTGCTTATTGAAGGGATCAAGCTATATAGGACTTATCCAGTTTAATTAACAATGACTGCTTCAGCACTTTGGACAAACTTTGTTTAACCATGGTACGTTGAATAATATGTAATTAGGTACATTCAAATTCTATAACATAATAAACCAAACACCCTTCCCAGATTATAGTTTGCCAATACATCTTAATGTCTTGCATTAAAAGAGGACATATCAATCATGATTAATACATTCTTCATACATCTATTTTCATCACTACCTGCTGTCTGCCTTTCCTTCATTGGGGTTTCAGCTGTAAGTTGACAACTATGTTTCTGACTAATGGTTTTCTTATGTATACATATGCACACATCTCTACAAAAGAGTATGGATTTTAAAATATAAGAAAAGCAACTACAAAACAATGTAAAATAACAATCATTTGATTATTGGAATGCAGGAATACTGCATAGGAAACAGAACTATTCTAGCTAGCTTGCTATTATCAATAGAAGAGAATATTCGTAACTCAGGATTGAATTGTGAGGTCCTTGGTGTTTTCTGAGCTTGGTTGTTTTCTTGCAGACACTTCATTATCAAACTAGGTAACATCACCAGTGCTAAAAGGGAGAGGGGCTTGCTCTGTCAGCGTTTGTGGGAGTGGTCTTGGTGGTTCCTTGACTGGGCTGTTGTTTACCATTAGCTTGTTTGTTTGAGTTAGTAGTTTCTTGATTGTTATTATGTATGATTATACCAACCTAGATTGTTTAGGCATTATGGAAGATGTATCCAACAAATCCAGAGGCACTAGATTGGAGAAACCTAGTCTACGTTAATAAGCAGTGACTCTGGTGACCTTCATACTCATACTTGAACATGCAAGAGTTGATCATGGGAAAATACTGCATGCAACACATCTACAGCTTTTCTCTATGTAGCTGTCTGAATACATGTACAAGCAAACTGTCAATTTGAGTGTTTCAAGCAATTGCCTTCAAGGAAGATTAATAAATATCAGACCCCTGTTGGCAGCGTGCCAGCTCAATAGTCTGTGAAAGAGCTAAATATATGGATTCCTGCCCATGTAATATTTTTATATTTAACTTATGACAGTCAAGTCATACCTGAAGAGCAACTCTGGGAAATTAAGTGGAAAAAAAATTCTAACAAACTATTTTAAGTATGTGCTGCCCTCCAGAGGAAAGAAATTGTTAAGATTCTAGAATGAACATTGTATCTGTTTCACATGGTTTTACAGTCCTTTTTTCACAAAAGTTTATGAGTTTTAGGATATGACAATAATATTTATTTTGACTTCAAAGGCAGAGACCTAAATTCCTCTCCTCTTGTCTGTGAATCTCACTAATACCCACGAACTTATTATCTGCTCAACGATAAAAGGAGAGATGTCTTATGTCCCACCCAAATTATATGAAAGATTGGAATGCTTAGACCAGGCATGTCAAACTTGCGACGTCACATGACGTTGCGCAACATATCGGGCCGGTTTTGCCAGTGCTGGCAATGGGGTAGGCGCGGCTTCCACGTGACATGTCCAGCCCCTGGGCTGGCAGTTTGACACCCCTGGCTTAGACTTTCTAGGGATTTTTCAGAATTTCTTAAATGTTTTATATTTTAATTAGGTAACATTAACCAATTGGACTGCACCACTACTCACCATCAACTCCAAACTTAACAACTTAACAACTACTTAAAATCCAACCTCCCTTTTTAAAAATGTTCCTTAGCAATGAAAATCAATACATTTTATCTATTTAGTCTATAATTTGCTACTTTATTATTATTCCATAAAGTTACCTACAGATATATTCCAGGAAAGTTACATTTAATCAGAAGTACTTGGTGAAGAAGTTAACCAAAAGCAATTCCAGGCAGCTGGTTTGCTTTATCTTTGCAAAACATACTGTATATTGATCCATCTTCAACAGATGTTATAGTTACTAAAGCTAATGCTGCTTTCTACCAATTTTCCTAAGATAAAAATCACTCAAGATGGCCTTCAATTAATTCAATTTCCCCATGGTCTTATTTTAAAATGAGCAATACATTGGTTACTTTTTAACTGTTGAGGCTGATGCTGGTAGCAAGTTCCACATTTTTGTTATATTATCATAAAGGACATGTATCTAAGATTTCTTGAGTAGATGCTATCCTGACTTAATTATTTGGCAATTTTTATCTGCTCATAATTCATAAAACATTTCATTTCCCCAACTTTTGTCTTGATTCTCATTCTACCTCTTGAATAAACAATAGTAGAGATAAGAAAACGGAATTAGTCAGCAGGAACAGATTTTGGCACAAGCTTTTGATCCTTTTTGAGTAATCTTTGATTCATTAACAGTACAACAGCTTCCATAGTCAGTCACTGTATCACTGTTGGTCTCAATGATTTTTATAATATTTTTTAAAAATATTGTAAACGTCACCAGAAAATTTTAAAGACCATCAGGGTAATTTTAATTGTAAACATCCATATGATACAACTCTCAGGTACAATAAACAGATTAACATAGAAAACTAATCAATACACCAAAGTATCTGCTGCATAAGGTACTTACTTGACTGCTTCTGCTACATTGTTAGAAGTATGACCTGATAAAGCATCATGCAAATTACGGATAAAGTAATCTCTGTATTCTTCTGGAAGAGCCATGAATGTTCCACCCATCACAATGAATTCCACTTTGTCGATGCTGTGGCCCAGCTGCTTCAGCTTTAAAATAAAATCAGTTTTTGGAACCATGCCAAAATCTACCACATATTTTTAAGTCTGTTTAAAATATATAAAATATATTTTATATATATATTACATATATTTAAAATATTTCAAGTGAGGTTACTTCACAGCTTTGTATAAAACAAGCATTATAGTATTAGCAGTTTTATTTTAGATTCCTCACTGAGTGTCCTTCAACATCAAGCAACAAAGTTATATTGAGCTATCCATTTAACTCACAAGCCTTCTTTCTTAATAACCCCTGAAGTTTGGAATTCTATTTCCTGGAGTTCTACTAATGCTTATGTTATGCCTCTCCTTAATCTCTAGCCATTAATGTTCTAGGATATTCCAAGAATATGGAAGGATAGGGTAAAATATTTAGAGTACTCTTGCTTTCCTCACCCCAAGGTTTTCATAAAAATTTATATTTATTCATTTATTTATTTTGAATAGTATTTGGAAACTTGTAGAGGAAGACTACTTTTTCAACCTGTAAGGGAGTTGTTGGCAGATGATATAAATAATCTTTGGCTAAAAAAATAAATGATTTAATTCAGTGTACAATAACTTTTTGAATGAAATAACATGGTGGAGAATGCTTAACATCTGGCACAAGAGCTCTGCAGATCACCATTCAAGAAGTTAACTTATAAAGTCCAAGCAGCATAGGTCATATTACTGGGATCTCTTACCCTCTTGAAGATTGTAATCTTTTCAATGAAAAAGGTTCAGAGTTTGGTGCAATTTTTAATCTAGCCCAAATAATTTGCTGCAGTAGCTGAAAGTAATTGTCAGGACTGCCATCCTGCTACAGCCATGCTTTGCCAGATGCCAGTCTGCCATAGGCAATGGGGGGAGGGAGCTGCAAGGAGGTAGAAGGGAGGCTGGGATAAGGAGGAATCAAAACTACTCTTTGAGCCATCCTGTGAGAGCCACTGGCAGTTCCAAGGTCATGCAATGGAATGTGATACCATCCAGCTTGCCAATCCAGGAATTGTTACCACAACAATTTGTTTGAATGTTAATTGAACAGTTAAAGATAAGTTGGAAGAAGGGAAACATTTATCAGATGCTTTGGGGGCGAAACTTCAGATCCAGTTTTGCCTTACTGTAATCATTTGGCATTTAGCATATTTTCCTTTTGGTTCAGTTTTCATTTTTACTGATGCTTTTCTATGTGAAAGAATCTTTTGCCAATTGGTTAATCTCCATGAATGCTAAATTGGTTTTAATAAATATATTTATTTAAGGTCATGGACATAATTGAAGATCAAGCTTCACATTTAGCTATGAAAGAATTAAATTGCTTTATTTTTATCCCAACATCATCCCATTCTCCCACCATAATAAATCCTTACTTGTTCAACTCTGTGTCTGGTCTGGAGATAAGGATCATATCTGGCACGTATGGCTCTCATAGATGTTGGCTACAAGAAATCAAAACAATATTCCTTAGGAAACCACTAGCAAGTTTGTTTTAAAGCATCTATACTTCAAACGCCTCTCACTTCATGTACAAATGATCAAGATCAAATTACCTTATAGTACTTCAGACCAATTATGTAAGGATTTAGCTGTATGTAGAACAGGGATGTCAAACTGCCACCCTCTGGGCCAGATGCGTCATGGCAAAACCATGCCCACCCCATTGCCGGCAATGGAAAAAAAGTCACGACACGTCAGATGACGTTGTGAGTTTGACATCCCTGATGTAGAAGATTCTAATGCTGACCCAGGTGGTAGGAAAAAGAAGAGAACAACCATTAGCAAGTTGGATGGACTCACTCACAGTGGCAAATGGAACTCCATGAAGACTTGAAATCTTGGGTTATGGACAGATTGAGAAAATCTATGTGTTTGTTAAGAGTCGATATTGACTCGATGGCAAATAATACATCAAATCCAAAGTCTGAACTGTACTGTACTATTAAATTTTATTTTTGCTAGATCAGGAGTATAGAGCTTTTAGTGGACTGAGGATTATACAATCTTGTTCAAAAATAGTGCTCAGCATATTAAAAAAAGTTAACAGATTCAGTATATAGACTAAAATTTATGTAATGTAAATGTAAATTACATGCTGCAAAGAAGATGACCATTCTTCTATTTAATAATTAATTATATCACATTAAATTTGACACTTAAGTAGCAATGTCCAGAAGAGTTCTAGAAACCTGACCAAATGGGATTTTATAAATAGATCTTCATCTAATAGAGTAATTATAGAATAATTATATACAATCTCCATTTTCAAAACAAGTATGTGATGTAGATATGCTAGATGAATAGATTAAGGAGTTATGGGAAAAGGGATCTGAGTCAATTACCTTGTAATTTCTTAAACAGTTGCTTCTAGTTCATATATCAGACTTCAGCAAATAGCCAGACAGAGTTAACTATCAATAAAAAACTAAGTGTCTTTTTAAAAACAGACACCACTCTTAGTGGATACGTTACTTGAAGATAAGGGGAGGTGTAATGGAACACTTTTGGAGACACAATTTGAAAAAGTCTTAATATATTAATATACTACTTCACAAATGTAGTTCTTTAACTATTTTCTTGAACTTAAGTCCTTCACATGCATTGTCTATTCTGGATGAGAATTAGGGGAGATAAAATCCAACATACTCCAGAAGACCAGTAAGTTGGGGAAGCTGTTGTATCACTCTAACAGTGTCAGTACAACAATGTAGAAAGAATACTTATCTGTACCCACAACCATCTCTTCATTTCTAACTGTGTTTTGGATACAGTTGTGAAATATTGAAAGAAAGGGGAAAAAACCCAAATCCACCACTATTCTATGAACGTAAAATAAACTGGTCCTCCCCTAATATTTCTGATATTCTGGTTTATAGTAAATGTATTTTTTTTCCTGAAATAGGACCAACAGGTCCATGATAGCAGTACCTCATATCCCGTGTAAGATTGTGTTGAATATTCAAAGTCAGAATCAGGCCCTCCAGGACAGTATCTATATTTTCGAGAAAAAAAAATGAAATCATAGCTAGAGGTTGAGTATATTATTAAAAGCAAGGGTTGGCAACCTATAGACTGTGTACATTTAAATGAATAGCAAAATGTTTGAAGGCAAAAGAACTGTTTCAATGGATGTTCAAAGTGACCCCTGTAGGAAGGAGGCTATTGACCTAAATAGATCCAGCCCCTAGGAAGCAGGAGGAGGAAAGGAATTTGATTGACTGATCGACTTCAAGACCGTAGAAAGAATTGAACCAGAAACCTTCCAATTTAAAAATTGGTTTGGGTCTTCAGATGTACTAGAAAAACCAACCCTAACCTTGTTTCATGAAAGGCTAAGTTGATAATGAGGATTACTAGAAAAATTCATGGCTGTATTATGCTACAGCATAATGTAGTTTCATTGGCACTGGCTCAGAGTGTTATGTGCAATAGCCATTGTGGTTATAAATCATAGTTGTTTATTAGAAAAAACATTGTTTAATATAATGTGCAAACCAAATCTATATGTAAATTGTTCCCAACTCCACAAAGCAAGGTTGAAATCCCAGGCCCATATTACTATTAAAAAAAACATCCTGCAAAAATCCATCACCTGAGCACACTTACAAAAAAAAAAAAAAAAAAGCACTGAATTGCAGTTACTCAGTACTTTTGTTTCCTAAAAGATGGTTGGAGTCCCTTCATGTTTGAAAATTGACATGAAAATAAGGCTACATTTAGACTAGATCTGCTTTTTAGAATACTCTTGTTACAAACTATCAAATGCCAAGTTTAGCCACTGTCCTGAAAAAAGTTGTGCACCTGTATCTTAAAGCAGGGGTCCCCAACCCGTGGTTTGTGGACTGGCATCAGGCAGCAGCATGCCAGGAATTGGTCTGCGCAAACAAGCAAAGCCCCATCTGTGGGATGCAGGCAGCACGTGAAACCACACCCCCTCCGGTCTGCGGAAAAACCTCTCTTCCAAGGAACCAATCCCTGGTGCCCAAAAGGTTGTCTTAAAGAACAGGTACCATAGTTATAGAAAAATAATCATATGCATGCAAGCCTCATTTTAGATAAGTCTAAAGAAAGAGCATAGCCTATTATTTTTAAAAAAGATGTTTATAATTATTAGGAATTTATTTTTAAATGAAGCTGAATACTTTATTCTTCATATTTATTTTTTACTCCAGTACAAAAGATTCTAAACAAGAAAAAGTAAAAAACAAGCAAACAAGAAAATCTATGTTTTGGCTAGGTAGTTAAGATATTCTGACATGTTATTAGACATACTCACATGCATATGTTTCCTGTGAAATTAATATGTGGACATCTATGTGGTTTGCACATTACTGCCACAACAGCAATCTGAAAGAAAGGAGTATTGCAGAGAAGTTATTAAATATCTGGTCTTTTTGTATACAGCAAATACAGCAATCCTCAACAGTTGAAGGAATGGTTAAAACAACTGTTCTGTTCAGAACATCCTGAAGCTATTCCCTAATCACTTTAACTTTTCCTGAAAATCACTAAAGGAAGCTCTAACTGTTTAAGTTTACAACTTTACAAGCATTGTTTTTCAAAGTACATTACCTTAGTAGAAATTATTTTAGAGAAGATATATACAGTATAGAATAGTACTGTGACTACTCTTTATAGATTAATTTTATTATTTATTGCCTTACCATTGGATGACAAATTATAGCATTTAGCAAGCCTTGACTGATCTCATAAAGCTAACAAGGATTGGTTAGCATATGAATGAGATACCAGTTCTGGGGCAGTAACAATCAGAAATGCTTTGCATGTGTTCTCAAGAACATTATATAGAGCTGGAGCAAAATTCAGTTTGAGGAGATTACTCTTGTTTATCCTTTATAGGCAGATATCCTTCTGAAATCAAATCCCTTCAAAGATGGGCAGCAAACTAAATTAACTGCTGCAACAAAACCTTAATCTCAAATAGTAATTGATTAAAATAGACAAACTCTGCCATTCTCTTAATCTCCTAAGCAACATCCAAGCTGAGACATGCATTCAGCAAGATAGTGAGGGGGGTTGGAAAGCAGGTGAGAATATTTTTTTAAAAATATATAAAATGTTTAGCTAATATTCCTCAGGTGATAGTTTTCATACATTGAAAACATTCTTCACTGAAGGTATTTATCAGTTGAATTTATTCAGCTGATAAAACAAGAGCAAGCGGAAATAGTAATAGTAAAGTTGGAAGGGACCTTGGAGGTCATCTAGTCGAACCCCCTGTTCAGGCAGGAAACCCTACACCATTTCGGACAAATGGCTGTCCAGTCTCTTCTTAAAAACTTCCAGTTTTGGAGCATTTACTGCTTCTGGAGGCAGACTATTCCACTGATTAATTGTTCTCACTGTCAGGAAGTTTCTCCTTAGTTCTAGGTTGCTTCTCTCTTCTCTGAAGCTACACAAATATATATTGGGGATACAAAATGGCCAAGGAAGAAAATCAATGTGTGACTATAACTGCTTGAACAACACTACTTTCACCTAAAGACAAAATTCTCTTCTCTCCCTGTAAGTGTGGCAGGCAAAGTTGTGGTCTGTCAATAATGATTTTGCAAAATCTAATAATTTTAGATTGCGAAGTTCAATCTATTTGAGTTTCTCCATGAAATATTGCTGCAAGTACTAAAAAGGCTACAATGATAACTTTTTAACTGTAAACAAGTACAAATAGAAACACAAACTTGCAAATAATTTTGCAGTTAAAGAGGGGCATTTTGTGATAGGTGTTTTAAATTTAAAAGGATTTGAATTCAAAAAATGTGTATAGCCCTATGCATATCTGTGGTGATTTGACAATTACATCTATTGGGCAAGCCAGAACAGTAACTGTTAAACTAATTGGAAAAGATTAACAATTTACCTAGGAAAAATATAAAACTAGGGAAACATTATATTCCTAGAGCAGAAAGTTGAAGTTGCCTTAATACAGGCCAGAGTTAAACCACTAGCCCATCTATTTCCATACTTTAGGAATGGCAAACTCAGAATATTCTGGTAGATTTATTGTCACACAGCAACAAAGGTTCATTGCAACAACAAAATTACTTCCTCTCTACACATTAAAGTTGTTTAAGGCAACACAAAATGAATTAACTTTTCATTCTTAGCAATTTCATGTGCTCAGCAGCTGTTCAAAGTCGTTGTATTCTTTAATTCTAAGTATATAGTTTATTTTTATGTTTATGCATATCTTGCACACAGTTCCAAGTGGGGAATATCAGATTTTAAGAAAAAACAAATAAATTCTGCAATGTTCAGATCTCGTCTCCTTCGATATATTCAGGTTGGAAGTAGATTCCAAGATCTCAGATACAGTACTGTTTTTTTTTTTCAAGTGGAGATTCTTATCACAGACTCTGGGACCTTATGCATGAAAAAAAACCAAAGACTTACCCCACTAGCAGTTCGGATGGGTTTTGCTTTCAACTTAGGAACCAGCACTTTGCGGTACTGAGGGGGGACAGCAGCAATGATGTCAACCAGACGTGGCTGTGCTGAAAGGCCATACTTGGCAGCCGTCCTTGTTTTAATCCTGAAATTGAAAGCTATGCAATTTAGAGACTATACAACAGGGAGAGGCAACCTGGTGCTTTCCAGATGACTTGGATTTCAACCCATGTCAGTCCATATCAATGTTTGAAGTTGCCTTGGTAATGCTATGATCAATAATAACCAAAAAGCTTCAGGTTGCTTCTGTCTATTATATATGTTTTTCTTCAATACAATTACATTGGAGTATAACAAATACAAAAAAAGTTGGTACTAAAAGGAGGGAAGAGCTCCAGCCCTATATTCTTCTCTTTGGACAGAGTCTTATGATTTAATTTTTTCTCTCTCTGATCCTATTCAATATCTACATGAAGCCATTGAGTGAGGCTGTCTATTAGCAAGGGGTTAGATATCAATTATTGCACATTTAATCTTTGATGCTCTTAAGCTTCTATCTCAGCATCTTAGGTTCTGGATGGAGAGGAACAAACGTAAGCTCAAACTAGCAAGACCGAGTGGCTAATGATTTAGGGGCTGCCTAGATCTGAAAATCTATTTTTGGTTCTGGATGGGAAGGCATTGCTCCATATATGGGGCTGTCTGTGAGATTAACTCAGAAGCTATAGTTAGTCTAGAATTCAGTATCACATGATGATGTGATACTAAATGCATAAACAACCGGTATTCCACGAGCTGCTTTGGTTGTCAGTGGATTTTTGAAGGTGTTGGTGATCAACTAAAGAGCTGCTCATGGCATAGAGGTCTGTAGTACTGCCTATCTCCAATTATCTTTTTGCTATTCACTAAAATCTGATACACCAGCATTCTATCCAACCTAGGTTTGCTATAATAAGCTCTCTAGAACTTCAGATACAAACCTTTTACAGGGCACAGCCTTTCCCATTAAAATGGGGAAGATAGAAACAGCAAAATGTTGAAGAGCAAAGAAGAAATAGAAGTCAACTCACTTGTTTAAGTTCACATCTTTGCCCTCATCGTGGGCATCAATGAGTTGTTTGATGACATCAGCTACAGTCATCATCATGAGTTCTGCTCGGCTGAGATCTCCTAAAGCAGAAGTAAAAGATTATGAAAGAATCTGTGCAAGTATACAAATGTAAACTGACTTGTGCTCTCTCAGACATAATAGTAATCATCATCATCTCTGGGACATCAGAATTCAAACAGACAAACACCTGCAACATAACATCCCGGACTTAACAACTATCGATAAGAAAGACAAAAAAGTCTGGATAGTGGATGTGGCAGTGCCTGGAGACAGCAGAATAGACGAGAAAGAACTGGACAAGATAACAAAATACAAAGACCTACAAATAGAAATAGAAAGATTGTGGCAAAAGCAAGCAAGGGTAGTACCAATATTAATTGCCTTAGGTGCAATCCCAAAACAAATGGAGCACCACTTAAACACCATTGGCATTGACAAATTCGCCATTACTCAATTGCAAAAAGCGGCCTTACTAGGAATTGCTTCCATCCTGCAACAATATCTGTAATACCATCAAACATCCACATCTGCCTATCCCAGGTCCTTGGTAATGACTCGATAGGTAGACAAAAATGCCAAATCCAGTCTGAACATCTGGCTGACTGTCTGATGATCAATAATAATAAAATTGGAAGGGACCTTGGAGGTAATCTAGTCCAACCCCCTGCTCAGGCAGGAAACCCTATACCATTTCAAACAAATGGCTGTGCAGTCTCTTCTTAAAAACTTCCAGAGTTGGAGCATTCACTGCTTCTGGAGGCAGGTTGTTCCACTGGTTAATTGTTCTAACTCCTCAGTTCTAGGTTGCTTCTCTCCTTGATTAATTTCCATCCATTGCTTCTTGTCCTGCCTTCAGGCGCTTTGGAGAATAGCTTGATTCTCTCTTCTTTGTGGCAACCCCTGAGATATTGGAATATTGCAATCATGTCCCCCCTAGTCCTTCTTTTCATTAAACTAGACATACCTAATTCCAGTAACCGTTCCTTATATGTTTTAGCCTCCAGTCCCCTAATCATCTTTGTTGCTCTTCTCTGTACTCTTTTTAGAGTCTCAACATCTTTTTTACATCGTGGTGACCAAAACTGGATGCAGTATTCCAAGTGTGGCCTTACCAAGGCATTGTAAAGTGGTATTAATACTTCACGTGATCTTAATTCTATCCCTCTGTTAATGCAGCCTAGCATTATTTTGGCTTTTTTGGCAGCTGCAGCACACTGCTGGCTCATATTTAAGCGATTGTCCACTAGGACTCCAAGATTTATTTATTTATTTATTTATGAGACTTATATACCGCATTAAGTGCAAGCACTCTCTAAGCGGTGTACACCAGTAAGCAATGTATATATATATTTACATTGTCCCCAACAATCTGGGTCCTCATTTTACCTACCCCGGAAGGATGGAAGGCTGAGTCAACCTTGAGCCGGTGAGATTTGATCCCTCTCATAGTTACTACTATTGAGCAAGGTACCACCTATACTATACATGTACATTTGGTTTTTCTTGCCTAAATGTAGAACCTTACTTTTTTCACCATTGAATTTTATTTTGTTAGATAGTGCCCAGTGTTCAAGTCTGTCCAGATCCTCCTGTATCTTAAGTCTATCTTCTGGAGTGTTGGCTATTCCTGCCAGCTTGGTATCGTCTGCAAATCCCTTCATCCAAATCCCCTCCAAGATGTTGAAGAGCACTGGGCCTAGAACAGAGCCCTGGGGCACCCCACTATACACTTCCCTCCATGTAGATGCAGTTCCATTGAGAACCACATGCTGAGTATGGCCGGTGAGCCAGCTATGAATCCACCTGGTGGTGATGCTGTCTAACACACATTTTTCTATCTTATCAAGTAGTAGGTTGTGATCTATTTTGTCAGATGCCTTACTGAACTCCAAGTAAATTATATCCACAGCATTCCTCTGGCCCACTAATTTTGTCACTTTGTCAAAGAATGCAGTAAGATTTGTCTGGTATGATCTGTTTTTAACAAACCCATGTTGGCTTTTAGTAATGACTTTGTTTGTCTCTAGGTGTTCGCTGTTTTGTTGTTTGATTATCTTTTCCAGAATCTTCCCAGGTATTGAGGTCAGGCTAATAGGTCTGTAGTTTCCTGGATCTATTTTTTTCCCTTTTTGAAGATGGGAACTACATCAGCTCTCTTCCAGTCCTCTGGTAGTTCCCTAGTGCTCCAGAATCTTTGAAAAATATAGTTCAGTGGTTCTGAGATCACATCTGCCAGTTCCTTGAGAACCTTGGGATGTAATCCATCTGGTCCTGGTGATTTGAACTCGTCTAGGCTAGATAGGTGCTTACTTACCATTTTTTTTGCCTATCTTAACTTGTTTCTAATCTGTTTTTTATGGTACTGTTTTTGATAGATTGGACTGTTTTTTTCCCTTTGTGTAAAGACAGATGCAAAAAATGAGTTAAATAGTTCTACTTTCTCCCTGTTGCTTGCCACCTTCTTGCCACTTTCTCCCACTAATGGACCAATCATTTCCTTAACTTTTTTCTTGTTTTTTACATGTTGAAAGCTTTTTTTGTTATTTTTGACTTTGGTTGCAAGCCATAGTTCATTTTGAGCCTTAGCTTTCCTCACTTCATCTTTGCAAGCTCAGGCTATTTGCTGATATTCTGCCTTAGTTATGTGCCCCTCTTTCCACTTTTTATACTTGTCTTTTTTATCTTTCAATTTATCAAAGAGTCTTTATGCAGCCATGCTGGTTTCTTTTGAGAGCTTTTATTTTTCTTCTTTGTTGATATTGTGCTAGGCTGGACTTTTATTATCTCACTTTTCAAAATTTCCCAAGCTTCTTGAGTTGTTTTCCCCTTGAGGATTCTCATCCACGGAATCCTTCCCAAGCTCTAAGTTTATTGAAATTAGGTCTCTTGAAGTCCAAGACTCTAGTTTGACTGTATTCTATTGCTTGTGCTTCCCTAATGTTGAATTCCAATATTGCATGATCACTTCCCCCCAAGGTTCCTGTGGGTTCAACACCTTCTATCATTTCATCTCTGTTAGTGAGGATTAGATCCAATATGGCTAATCCCCTAGTTCCCTTCTCTACTTTTTGGGAGAAAGTTGTTTGCTATGTTTGTCAGGAATTTGTTTCATCTTGCACTTGGTGCAGAGTTTGTCTTCCAGTTGATGTCAGGATAATTAAAGTCCCTCATTACTATTATGATATGCTTCCTACATACCTTAGTTAGCTGACTAGCAAAAAGTTCATCTATTTCCTCTGTTTGGTTGGGCAGCCTATAGTATACACCAGGGGTGTCAAACTGCCAGCCTGCAGGCCAGACACATCATCTGGAAGCCACACCCACCCCATTGCCGGCAATGGCAAAACTCTGATACGTTGCATGATGTCACATGACGTCACGAGTTTAACATGTCTGGTATACACCTATGGCAATGTCATTTTTCCCCTTTTATATTGACCCAAATGCAGTCAAGACAGTTTTCATCATTTTTGTGCTCTATTTCTGTAGAGATGTAGTTATTTCTTATATAGAGAGCAACTCCACCTCCTCTTTTGTTTGGTTTGTTTCTTTTAAATAATTTAAATCCCTCTAGCTGTGTGTTCCATTTGTGGGTTTCATCCCACTATAGTCTTTCTCTTCTCTCAAAGCCCAGAGTTGATTCACCTGAATCACAGAACACGTGCCTTTAGTACTAATCAATATGGCCTCTGCACTGCTCTGTGGTAGATGATGTGTGAGAGATGAGGAAATGCTGCCTTCAAATAGGCAAGAAAACTGTAGTACATACTGCAGAGGACAAAGTGAAAATGATTAGGTCACCCCTAGTTAACTTTCCTCAAGGATGTTTGAAGACTCCAAGAAGGAAGGTAATAGTGAAAGAGTTCTTGGAGGAATTATATTTTTTTCCTAAAGCAATAATCTGTTCTTTTCTAAGGAACAGATATTCACACAGAATAATCATGGACTGGAGGATATGTTAATTAAGTAGACACTTAGCTTATTTGAAAATCATACTCAAAAAGCATTTATTAATGTTTTATCAAATTAAACTGACATTTAGTTGGGTACCAAGGAGTTCAATCTTTTCAATACTTTCAATAATGCCATGGAGAAGATGCAGGAAATGCATTTAAAATTTGAGATGGGATAATACCTAGAAGACTAAAAGGAAATTGAATATAGCCTTGCATTTTAGAGAAATGGACCAAAAGTTACAGAATTAAGTTTAATAGAGGCAAGTTCTTCTCTTAAAGGAAAAAAAAAATCAAATGCACAGATAGCAAAGGTGATATTTGTCCTACTAATGATATTTGTGAAAAAGGCCAAGGAATAGATTACAAACTAAACCAGCAATGTAATTAGGCTGCAAAAGAATATAAATGCAATTTTAGGTTGCATCAATGTAAGTATAATGTCCAAATGACAGAAAGTAGCCATTCCATTTTGCTTTGGTCAGATCCTACCATGATTACTATGTTTGGGACACCACATAGTATGGATTAAGACAAAGAGAAACAAGTTAGAGAAAAGCAGCAAGAATGATTAGATGATTAGAAACCAAGTAAGAAGAGAGTTTAGTGTAGTGGTTAAGGCAGTAGGCAAAAATCAGGAGACCATGAGTTCTAATACTACCTTAGGCACAAAGTCAGCTGAGTGACCTTGAGACAATCACTTGCAGCCCTAAGAAACAAGGAATGGCAAGCTACTTTTGAAATTATTAACCCAGAAAACTGCAGGGACTTGTCCAGGCAGTCATCAGGAGTCAGTGCTGACTTGAAAGAGGCACATCCACACACACATTATGAAGAGAGACGGAAGGAACTGGGAATAAGTCTTGAGTAAAGAAACTTTTTGAGTTTAGCAGAGCAAAACAGGATATACTAGCATTGTTAAACACCTGAAAGGGGTCCAGCAGATTCTCTACTGCCCCAGACAGCAGGATACGGGAAAATTGATTTAAATTACGGGAGGGCAGATTGTGATTGAGTGTGGTGGTTTCCCCTTCAATGGGGGAAGTATCTCTCCCTGGGATACTTTAATCTGGATTCCTATGCTGAACAGAGGGAAACCCTTCAAGTCTGTGAATACTCAACCAGCATTTTCACACACGTTTCTCATGATGAAATTACTTCTTTTTGAACTAATGATGCTGATCATATTTAAAAGCCATCTCAGTCGCAACTTCCTATCGGTGAACATGAGACTGTCCTATCTTGAGTCGTTCGAACTGTAGTGGAACTACATTTCCCAGAATACCCAAATAGCGCGGTCCCACACCCAGTCCAATACATCTGGAGGGCGTCTCTTTCAGAAAGCTTCATACCAATATCCCTTCTGTCCCGTCCCCCCTTCTACCTTTCTTTTTCTGCCTCATGGCGAAGATCACCCTGGCGACAGCGAAACGATTTCTCAAGTCCTCCCCTCCCCGTTTTTATTCTCCGGCCGTCAAGCAGGAGCTTCTGTTATGCCACTCTAGGCTAATCTCTTTTTCTTCACGACAGTGCCGCAAAACAAAAGAAATACAGGGAACCGAGTAGGAACAGAAGGCAGTTTTTTTTCTGAGCGAGATTGACAGAGTCGAGCGCGCCCACGAGGAGAAGGGATTGATAAAGCTCGAGACGTCCCGCCTCTTCGAACTGACCATATTCCGCTGCAACCGGAGCCAGGGCGCGTATTGATGCCTAATGGCAGGGATGGGGAACGATTGCCGTTTATGACTTGTGGACTTCAACTCCCAGAATTCCTGAGCAAACTATCTGCCTTATGGCCTTGTGGACTTTACGCGTGGCCAGGACTGCAAAATCCGGAGGCCGAATAGAGGAGGAAGCAGAAAGTTATAATTTTGTTGCCATCTAGGAATTTTAAGGTTTTTTTGCAGCTCGGCTCTGATAGCTTTTTAGATCGCGTAAGCATGTAGAGAACCGCCGTTTTAAGTAAGGTGACCAATCGTCCTCCTTTAGGGAGGACAGTCCTTCTTTTGTACTCATTTAAATAATAATTAATAGGCATGTAAGCATAATTACAATATAAAATGTTATTGTTACAAATGTTTTTTATTATGCATTTATCATATTATAGTGTATTCTGTATTGTTGCAATGAATAAAATGTTTTATTTACGTTATTTTTTTTCTACAATTTATTTGTGTCTTCTCATTGTAAAAAAGTTGGTCACCTTATTTTACGTTAACCTAAATCAGCCCTCTTGCCTTCAAAGAGATTAATGTCTACGATAACAGGTGGTTGCTTTCTTTCCAGCAAGGCTATTGGTTCGCTACTTTTAGTAGATATGATTTGCTATCACAATAAGTTTTCATGTTTTATTTAACCATTACTAAAAACCGACAATGTTTGGAATTCTCATCATAATAAGGTATGACTAATAAACATTTAATAAATAGTGCTTAGATTGCCTTGTGGTGGTGTCCCAAAGGTACTTTTTCAAGAGGCAGCTGGACTTTCTTTGTTTTTCCTTGACAACATTTTGCTTCTCATCCAAGAAGCTTCTTGGTTGAGAAGCGAAATATTTTGAAGGAAAAACAAAGAAAGTCCAGTTGCTTCTTGAAAAAGCATCTTTTGAACAACTATGAACTATGATATTTAGCTATGCTCTTTGGGATGAACACCCTTCGAATGGTGTGGGAGTATGAACTGATTTCCTGAAAACATTGCAGACTACAGGAAAAGGGCAGAAAACATCCTGTAGCCACACACATTTTGCATTAGTCAGGTGACCCTGAGGACACAGAAAACCTCCAAATGGCCCCAATGACTCTCTAAAACAAGGGTGTCAAACTGCCCGCCTGTAGGCTGGATGCATCATAGCGAAACCGCACCCACCCCATTGCTGGTGATGGCAAAAAAAGTTGTGATACATTGCGACACTTTACGTGACAGTTGCAAGTTTGACACCTTTGCTCTAAAAAAAATGCAAATGACCAGCTATCTGCAAGGAACATAAATCCTTCCATTCCTCACCATCCAGTCAGAGCTGAAGAAGCTTCTTGGTTGAGAAGCAAAACATTTTGAAGGAAAAACAAAGTCCAGTTGCCTCTTGAAAAAGCATTGTGGGAAGTCAGGCCCCCAGAGAAGGAAATATTAAAAGGGCATAAAAATATATTTCCTAAAAAGATATTGGAAGAACCAGAAAAGCATGCCCAGTTTGCTTAATAGTCCCAGCTCTCCCTCCCCCATGCTCTGTACAAATGCAGATGTAGGAGGCCCCCCCGGCTAGAAACTTAGGAAGACAAAAAGACCTAAAATCTGCATACCCTACCCAAACTCTAAGAGTCATTAGCCTCAGCACCAGGGAAGCAGGATATGAACTTTGGGACATAATAGGATTAACCCACAGATGCCAAAGGGACACAGATCAAAATACATGACACAGGAAATATAAAGCCTCAAACAGGAAATAACCTCCAAACAAAAGGCTCCAGAGGGTATAAAAACCTACTCCCTGCAGTGTGCTAAGCCTTTTTTTCCTCTTCACTGCCAGACCCATCTTTCTGTCTGGCTCTCCTATTCAATCAACCATAACCTTCTTTCTAAAGCAGTCGCCATGTTATTTATTCTTCATGATGAAGAATTTTCTTCCAACAGCATCTTTGAGACAACTATGACTTGGATGACTGAGAACCATGGTGGTGGTGATGGTCCTGGCAGGACTGAGTAAAGAATGCTGGTAATGTATGCCAAGAGTACATGTAATCTCAGAAGGGTCACTCAAGTCATGAAGGTCATCCCAGCTGCCCACCTAAAACAAGCAGGCACCTATATTGGACAGCAATGATATTGAAAAGTGTTGAAGGCAGATGATCTTTTTATGGATAGTGACAAAGTTCATTTCATACTTCACAGGAGAAGGCAATTGTGAGCCACTCGTATTTTATCAAAAAAACATGGATAAAAATATGAAGTGATTGATGATGATAGTGCTGGATGATGGGCCCTCAGATACATTCATGCTACTCATGAAGATTAAGTATCTTTTTGGAGTACTAATGGTATTTATGACATGGTTAGATTAAAAATGCCTGGTTCTCTAGTTGCTGATGTGCCCATGCAGGAAAAAAAAATAATCCAAACCTCTACAAAGACTGAATTACAGTGGGAACATGGAACAAAGGGAGCATGAAGAAAAGAAAGCTCAACACGGTGAGACATGAAATGCATCAACTATACACTGACATTTTAGGCATTACCAAATTGACTTAAATTGAAATTGGACGCTTTCAGTCAGCTGACCATACTGTTTACTGCTCAGGATCCAAAAACAAAGAAAATGTTGCTTGCTTTCAGTAATCAGAAAGAATATAGCAAGGATAGTACTTGGATCCAATGAAGTCAGTGACTGAGTAATACCAATTAGCTTTGCCGATAATCTAGGTGTCATGGTTCTGACAAATGAATCTCTTCAAAAGAACCTTGAGGCATTGTTTTCCTTAAAGAATCTTTTAGCTGAGAAACAAAGTATCGGCACTACACAATTGAAGCCAAAAACTGAATTCCCCTCCCCTGGCACAAAGTAGCAAAGCACAATTCCCTCCTCCAATTAACAGTCATAAATCACATCCCCCAAGTGCAGGCTTTCTCCCCATCTCTCCTGCCTGCCAAATTTCTATCAACTCTGGACCTAATTACCTTGGGTTCCCATGGCTGAGTTATTATTGTTATGACTACCTGGACTTTCATCCACATTCCCCTCCCAGCATCAACAAACTCTAAAAGCGATAGAGAAAAGATGGCTACATTTCCATCTGTTGTTAAAGCAAGAACATCCGATGTTAGCAGCGTTGATACTAGGTTTATGCTTCAACCGCTGATGCAAAAGATAAGATTGATAGGTTTTGTGGCCAAGTTCAATCTGAAATTAAATGTAGAGCATGCAAGCAAGATGTGCTACTTATGGTTGGAGATTAATGCCAAAGCTGGAGCTAGACTGAATGGCCTATGAAACAGAAATGAAATAAGTCAGGATATCATCCTGTCAGTTTCTGCCAATATGTTGATTTCTTCATTGCTAACATAGTGTTCCAGCAATCAAAGCAACACCTAATGCACATAATCTATATACATAGATGTCACAGACAAATAAACTATATTATTGGTACAGAGGATGTGGCTAACTGCTGATTGTGGAATAGATTACTTATGTGCAAGTTCCAAGTCCAACTAATGCAGAACCAATGCCTTTGATACAATTTTGAGCATATAGCCTTAATTTTCAGAAATTGCTGTGAAATCACAAAGTTGCAAAAAACAGTATTTTTTGTGTTTTTAACTGTTAATTGTATATTTCCATATTATGAGTCACCCAGGGTCTTCTGCAATGAGCAGGTATAATACCCGTGTTTCCCGAAAATAAGACCTGGTCATTTTTATTTTTATTTTTTTGCTTCCAAAAGAGGCACCAGGTCTTATTTTCAGGGGGTGCCTCAACTCTGGCATCAACAGCCCCGCCCAGCTGGCCCACTTCTTCTGGCCAAAGGAGCAGCTTCATTCTGCAGCTGCATTCCAGCCTGCATTTTGCAGTCAGGCCTTTCTGGAAGGCCTATGCAGCTGAGTACCGAGCTATGAATTCAATCCACAGCTTGGTTCTCGGTTGCAGTGGCCTTCCGTAAAGGTCTGTTACTGAGAAATGCAGGCCTGACTGCAGAAGACACCACAGCTAGCGAGGAGAGGCCTGGCTATAAGGTGAGTGGACGTGGGGTGCGTGGGACAGCTTCACACTCCCACCCCTGCCCTAGCTTGATTTTTATGTGCCTCGCCCCAAAACTAGGACATATTTTTGAGGCAGGGCTTATATTAGGCTCACTCCCCAAAAATCAAGCTGGGGCTTATTTTCAGGGTAGGCCTTACTTTTGGGGAAACGGGTAAATACAAATTAATATGTACAGTCTCAGGAGATGGAAAATAGGACTAGCTGGGATTTTCAGTACTCAACTTACTACCCCAATTGGGAGACAGAATTTCCATTGCTAGACAAGGCAGTTGTTAAGTAAGTCACACCCAATTATATAACCCTTTTTGCCACTGCTGTTAAGCAAATTACTGCAGTTAAATGTATCAGTCATTAAGTGACTCTGTCAGCCCTTATTGACTTGGTTATTTGAAGACAGCTTGGAAAGTCGCAAATGGCAATCACATGATCCCAGGATTCTGCAACCATTATAAATACATGCTGATTGCCAAATGCCTGAATTTTGATCATGTGACCATGGGGATGCTTCAACAGTTGTAAGGACTGTCACTTTTTTCAGTGCCATTGTAACTTCAGTCACTAAATGAATAGTTGTAAATTGAGTACTACCGATAAAAAGGAGATCACCCCAGATTTAAACAAAGCACCCCAAAACTATTGCTGCATTTTTGTTGGAATAGCAGCTGAAGTAAAAAAATAGTCTTAATCTGCAAGCCTTACAACTTTGTGAGGACACAGAATACATTCTGAGTCCCTCAGCCAAGGAGGCCAAAAAGAGATTGGTTGTTTAACCTTGTACTGACTTTTCTGACGTGGCAAAAGTTCTCAAGGTTTCAAGCAAGATGTTTCCATTGATTGCTTTCTGGAGATGACTAGTCTTGAATAATTTGTACATAAAGCAGGGGTCTTCAAACTTGGCCCTTTTGTGACTTGTGGATGTCAACTCCCAGAATTCCTCAGCCAGTGTGCCTGGCTGAGGAATTCTGGGAGTTGAAGTACAAAAATCATAAAAGGGCCAAGTTTGAAGAACCCTTAGTGTTCTTGCCGTCTAGAAGGCATGCATTGTTCTGTAAGGCTCCTCTCTATGGTAGTAGTCCAAATGGCTAGTTTGCTCATACTCAGCACTGAAACATCCAAGAATTGCCTCTTGTGACTTGGTTCTCCTATCATATTTATAATAGTTTGTTTAGTTCTTGTTTAGCTTAATGTGTGGCATAAATCCAAGCATGGTGGCTTATTCATCGAACCCAAGAGTTAAAAACATTGGGATGTAAACATCTAGTGCTTAGATGAGTGCAATTTTACTCCTGTACAATGTTCTTTAGTTCCTAGTTTGCATAAAAAATGTTCCTCTGGAAAAGACCCCAAAATAGCTATTTGGTGCTTGCACAGAGTTCATCGGAATGGGAATAATCACTGCCAGTCATCTTTCCTCACAGTCTGGAGATCACAATGGTACTTACTCAGCAAATCAATGGAACGTGTCTGATGCCGCAGCCACTGCAGCACTCTTTAGGTCTCATTTTTCTAACTGAGCAACTAGGGGACTTAACTACTGACTGGACAAAAATCTTGTTCCAATAGTGATGACACAATAGATAGAAGTGATTTCATTCTTTAATAAGTGTCTATTCAAATGTAATAATGAAAGATGATATTAATTCATGGATGAATTCACACAGTAATAGTTTTACAAATTAGAGATCAATAGTTAACAGATATACAATAACATCATATTATAGTATATACCAAAGGCTAGTAAGGCAGAATCAGCCAGGATGCTGAATGACAGATGCATCTTCATGGAAGCAAAGTCCAAAGCACACCCATATATTATAATAGAACTGGAGCTGGCTATAGATATCAGAAAGTGATATTGGAATCATGATAACTAGAACTATGTTCTAGTACTGTAAAAAATGGGCAAATTCCATTAAGAAAGGAATAGAAAGTAAAATCATCAACATAGTGTTGCTCATGATTAATCTGTATTTATAATGCTGGGCACAATTACAATAACCATAGTTGGAAAAGGATACTGTTTGCAAAAGTGAAAAGAGGCAGATTGATTGGAGGACCAAAGCAGTTCCTCTACAAGCAAACGCCACAGTACCTTGGACTTTTTAGCTTGAAGTAAAGTCAAATAAGAGGTGACACAATAAAGGTGTATGGAATTATAAATGGTGTGGAGAATGTGAGTAAAAACACATTTATCTCCTCATGGTAGTAGGACTTGGACAGGAGTGTTTTACCCATTAAAATTAAATATGGGGGAGGGGTAGGTGACAAAATGAATGATTTTTTTACAAAATGGATAGCTAAATGATACAGCCATAAGATATGGTGGTAGCCAGGGATAGCTGCAAGTGAAGGATTTCGGTAGCATGTTCTGTTGAATTGATCACTCAGTGACTGATAATGCTGAATAGATGATTTGTTGGGTTTTCGCAGTGTTTCTCAACCTTGACAATTTTAAGGCATGTGGACTTCAACTCCCAGAATTCCACAGCCAGCATTGCTGGCTGTGGAATTCTGGGAGTTGAAGTCCACATGCCTTACAATTGTCAAGGTTGAGAAACACTGGCAGAATTCTTTTTCTGTAAGTCTGCAAGATCTTCAAAATCCTGTTCCACAGTATTCATCATTTATTACAGATGAATTTGATAAGGTCATCAAAAAGTCTTTTTAATGGCTGCTCCGATTTTGAAAAATGCTGCTTAAAATTGCTCATCTAAACCTCTATGCAGTAGCCTTCATTTTGGGTGTAGACCCAGAGATTTGGTTTGTCAGCTGATTGCTTTTTCTGCCTGCTGGGGATAGTGGATGATTTGAAGCCACCTGCTACTAATTTTAAATTACTTTCTTGATTGGTGAACTTATTATAATAAGTATGGAATAAAAATGTAAATGAGCAACTTTTTTCTCCCTATTAAGTGGGCAGAGTTACAACGGTAGAACATAATCTCATCTGCTCTTCAGAATCTCTTTTCCTTCCTTCCACCCTTTGACTTTATCCCTGCTCCCTCCCTTCTTACCTTGTTTATTTTTTGTCATCTTGCCCTAATTAATTTCACCCCTTTCCTCATTTTATGTTTCTCCATCTTTCTGATTTCCCTCCTTCCCATCTCACTGATCATTTTTATCTTTAGTGCCTTGCCTTTTCCCCTTTTCCTTTCCTTCCATCTTCATTTCTTCCCCTCTCCCTCTCTCTCTTCCATTTCTCCCTTCCTCTACCACTCTTTTTCTCCTTCCTCTCCCTTTCCATCATTTATTTGTATGCGCTGCTGGAAAGCTTCAGAATTTTCAGAATATTCCAGAGTTCAATGGATATTAAAATGTATGAAAATTCTTACACCAATGAAGGGAACATTAAAATGAAAGGGAATGTGAGGCCAAGCACAAATTATAGTACTCTAAATTACAGAATGAAAATGGATGGAGATTAAATATGGCCAAAAAGATAAATCTCAGTTATTCAGAAAATCAATAGTCCTTTATTTTGGATTTATAGAATAGCTATTACTAAATATCTCTGCACAATAAATCGGAGGAGATTCGGTGGAGAGAAAACATCTTTCACTATTTCCTTGTGTTCATTTTTAAATTGCTATTTTAGTAGTTTATGGTATAAAGCCATGCCATCATGCTTAAAAATTGTTCCTGATTCTGGCTTAGTTTTAATAGACTTCCTTGGCAGAAAAGTACTGTCGCTCCCTCTAATTTTTGCTTATTTACTATTATGATTTAGTAGGACTGAATATACAATTGTTGAAAGAGGACAGCAAAACAGCACAGTGGCTAAGCCACTATTAGCCTATCAATGTAAGAAGGTTCCTAAGTTGGATAGTTTTATTAGAAAGTTTAAACTGAGCTGAGTGATCCTGCAAGCAGGACTCAGTTCCCAGAACAGGTAAAAGTAAAATGAAAGACATTTTTTTCAAAGATGTCATGGTACTGTGTACTGTTGAAAGAAAAATCTTCAGGGTCTAGTCCAACCCGAGAATAAACAAAATGGAGACTGCTTTAGAGAGAAGGTTCTAGTTTATTGAAAAGCAGTACCACAACAGCATGTGGCTCTGGAGCAGCTGACCAACTGATTTGACGAGTACAAGGATTTTTATATAGTTTTACAGCATTTCGTAAATTGGAGGCTTGCTTTGTGTACTATTGTTATTACATTTGTTTAGCTTGTTTCACAAAGGTTAGCAATGGGACTAAAACACTTCCTTGGTCCTAATCTGTCAAACAAATGTAATTAATTTTACCCCCTTATCTTTAGTCTGTCTATTACTTCCATTGAGCTCTTTGTGAATCAACAGGCCTATCCCTTTTCGCAATAGCCAGGGATTTCATGAGTGAAACATTGCTTCTATATTTCTTTTCCTATATTTGCTTTTTCCATAGACCAATGAAAAACACTTCAGATATTGCGTAGTAAATATATTTTACATTTCTGAAGCCCTCTGAAGCTGCTTGTTCTAACTAGAAATAATGGTGGATAAAAATAATATACTGTACATATATTGTAGTAACCTTCAGTTATAAACTACTACCTGTCTTTTGTCCTCCTTTTCAATATATTATGAAGTGATTCACAAATGATATATTACAAAAAAGATTATTTTTTGTAATATATACAAATGTATGCAAGTAGAAAAAGATCTAGAGCCCAGAAGTGAAGACAATGGATCCATAGACATTGCAGACACAGTTATTTCCCTGCTCTGCATTGAGCTCCCATATTCTCCAACCAGTTGTCTAGGTTGAGAGGGCACTAGTTAGATTGTGGAAGTTAATGAAACACTTTAATCTAACATATAAAGCATGGATAGATCTTTACAAAGTAAAGCAAAACAGTAACAAAAAGTTACTTCTTGCCTAAAGAGCCACATCTTTATTATAGCACAAGCTTTTATGAACCTTCTGGAAACTTCTGCAATGTTAAATTTTTGTTTTGGATCCAATTTATGCTAAACCTGCTTGATGTAGAGGTGAGCAATATTTGCATAAAATTGACATACAATAGACTTTTCATTTGTTTAGTTGGGATAAAAGCTGTCCAAAGCTTGTTCACATTCACTATTTTGGGCTAGGAATTAGCTGTGTCTGAACATTGATAGCTAATAACATTTTTACATATTTTTAAAGAAAAGCTCTAGTATGACAATTATTCCCCTTTGTCTAAAGTAATTTTATCACATAAAGAATTCACCAGTTAAAGTACTCTGAAAGGATAGTTATCAGTGGAATTCACATTTGTTCAGACTTGTTAGTTTTGGCAGCTTTCAGGTGGAATTTGTAGCAGGATTATCCTGCAATTTAATGCTTCAAGGTATTTGGTAGAAACTCATGAGCAAAGCCAAAGGAAAGAAAAGCATGCTTACAAGAAGTCATGCAAATGTAGCAGAGGAATAAAGTCATTTTTTTTTCTATATAATTTCAAACAGGGACTTTCAGATGTATTGATCACAAATATGATTGTTAGTCCAATACCAAGGCTATTCTAAGGAGATATAATCTGATACAAACACTACTGAACCTTGAGATAGGCAATCCACAAGTGGCATGTTGCCCCAGACCATGTCAAGACTGCAGCACTGAAATTTGACAGCAAGCCAATTAATATTCTAGGATTTTTTTTGTTTCCAAAAATAAAAAAGTGTTAAACTGAGGTGTAACAGACCTATTTTTTCCCCTTCCCCCATAGCTGAACATTTTGTCTCCTTCAGGAATAAATTGGGAAAAAAATGAAAACTTCATCTGCAGTTTCAAATGATTGTTCTTGTGTTAAATTTGCTTAGTTTTATCTTGGCTTTTGGATTTTTCAACAAACCATGCCGGAATACACCAACTGCTTAGTATAGTGTGTGAACAATCGGTTTGCAGTGAAAATCTGGTATGGTGATTTTTTTATTGCCAATATTCAGCAGATATTAAGACTCATAGCAGATTTAAATTAAAAAAAAGACCCAAATTCCATGGATAAGTTTGATAGTGAAATTCTTACTTAGCATAAAAAGAGAGTGGGTTTCTGATGCACAACTACTCTAAAGTTTTTTTGAGTCATGGAATTGTGTCATGGCATAAGTGGGAACCGTTTTATAAGCTAGGGGAAGCCTATATTTTCAGTTTTGGAACTGAATCTGCCAGGAAATAAAGCATGTCTTGATGTGTCTCCTGGAATATGGCAGAATTCTGCATTCACCCTAAAAGCCTGCACATTCTATGTATACTTTTGTCGTTTACTCTTCTCCCTAGAGGTTTAAAGGAGCAACAAACACTTCAAGGCTTTCATTTTAGTCATTTTATTAAAAATTCTAAATAGTCTTTAAAAAACAAAAACAAAATGCTTAATCAATGCTATAGTAACCATTTGTACATGCACAGTTAAGGTGCTAAGAACAACACAAAACTGAGTAGGACACTAGCTTATTATTGTATAAGTCAAATCTACAAAGAGTTTAGTGCAAGTTCAACTGTTAGCATTGGAGATCAGGTACCATGCTGGTGTATTCAAATCTATCTCTTATACTCGAATCACAATTTTAGATAAAGGTAGTAAACCTGATTTTTTTTTCCAGAAACATTAACAACCTCCCTCCCTGCAATAACTGGAATAACAGCATTGATTAGAAGTACTACAATTTTGGAAGAATTTTCCTACTGTAAAAGAAGTTGTATAAGAAAAAAACCTCTCCTGTTTGATAACAGAGGAATTAAACAATATTTTCTTTTATCTGCTACTTCATTTTGGTTTTTCTGCACTGGCAAAAAGTAGCCTATATCCATGAAGTCATTTTATACGAATTACAACATTAAATATAGGTGATTTGTGCTAAGGCTGAACTATATTTTTTCTAGAACAAAGACTTATCTTCTCTGCCTAACTATGCCAGATCTGGCTTAATTACTAAATTGTTCAATATTCTATATTTTTATAGTTGCAACATTACCTACAACAGTGACATAATCAAATCAAAATTGGAGAATGGGCAAATGATGCTTCTCAGCAAGAGGAACAAATGGGATCCCAGATACCATTCTACTAAAACTAGTTTACAGTATATGGCACTTTAAGCCAATTTTCTCTATATAAGAGCTACAAGAGTGATGTGCATATCTTGTATTCAAAATTAGACATAGATTTTACATAACACCATTCCAAAGATGTTTGTCCCAGTCACTTAAAAAAAAATCCAAGTAACAAGCTAATGCTAATTTTTTGCTTGGTGTCATTTTGCAAAGGGAAAAATAAATTCTTTGTAAAACCAAAGATTAACTTTATTGCGATTACCAAAAATAAAATAAAATAAAATGCCCCTGCTGACAATAAATCCTGAAATTGTTTGGTTTATGGTGACAGCATTGCTATAATACAGGACACTATTTGTTGTACATGAGAAAGTAAACTGAAGAACTGGTCTAAATATTTCTGCAGCTCCTGGGGGGGGGGGGAACGGCTGCCTTGGGTCTAGCAGTTTCAAGTATGCAAGATGGAACCTAAAGTGGCAGGAATGCTTAAAAAAGTACTTGAGATTGCAAATTAGTTTGTACTGATTAATTAACCATAGACTGTATTAAGCACAGAAGTTTCTATTTTGGCCACATCAGTCCCCATGGCAAACACATTCTGGTTTTGAGAAGTTGTACAGATTGACTGCATGATCACAATATATGATTTTCTGCACTCTCAGAGTATAGTATTTTATAAAAACACCATATGAATGTTTTATCCAATATTACTTAAATATGGTTAACTGAAGGAAATAAGTTTTTGTGGGCTAGCAGGGTCAGGCAAACTGCCTGAGGAGGTAGGCAGTATGATGCAGAGTGACTTTGAAAACTGCCTGCCTCATTGAGGAGTGAAGGTAGAAATTAATTAGTTTACATGCCCTTGCCCCAAATTCAACAGTTGAGGAGTGGAGATACCCAAATGCAGAAGCCGCACTGATTGGCTTATAATTTTCAGGTTTTAAAAGGTTGGTATCTTAACAGGCAATTAATGGAAAAAAGAATGTGGTTTTTTATTTGCTTCTTTCTTGCAAGCATCTTTGTTATATAGTTATGGAGACTCTGTTGGCTCCATTCTACATTACATTAATAGAAAAAGGCAGCTTACTGTGAGCTTTGACTAGAATGTAGAAGCAAACTATGTTGCTATTTTCTAGAAGTTTTTTTTTTTCCTGAGGGAGTTAAATTTATGGGAATCCATACATTTAAAGATGTTAATATATTTTACTAGAACGTTTAAAATTTCCTAAAATTCTACAGATATTTTCTCCTACAAGGGATTTTTATTTTTGCCTATTTTGAATTAAGTTTTAACTTGTCTTTCTCCAGTTCTGATCTAACAGTCCCACTTCTCTGAAGTTGGTACATGTGGCCCTTGTTATCTGCAATCCATTATCTATGGTTGATAAACACAGGTTAGATTTTATTATCTAGAAAAGGATTGAATAGCTTTAATTTTGATACATTATTCTATTTGGAAGATTTCTAGAATATTTTTTAATGGAGGGAGGTATTTAAGTGGGCACAATATAATGGTGAGCTTTGCCCATGAATAAAGTATACTTCTTCAATGTCTGGTTAGACACAATTCTGTTATCAGTGGCTGTTAGTCTAGAATAGAGCCACCACAAATAACAAGTGATACCTACATTATATTTACATTTTATGGAAAACTCCCTTGATACTAATGTTTCTCTTGAAATGTAGTTTTGCCAGAAAAAGAGCAGAAAGAAAATCCCTGCTTACCATGGTTTGGATGCTGTTCAGGCTTCCTCATAATTATATTCTCACAATTAATATATTAGCTTGATTTAAAGTACCTTATCAAGTTACAAAGCAGCTGATCTGGCACGTCACAATTTTTAAATTAGAATTTTAAATAATACTAAGCCTAATTCTTGTAGCTCCAAAGTATTTCAGCACCGGTTACTTTTCTTGAGGAACCAAGAATGAAATGGTTTGTCATTAAATTTAGATACCTAGCATATTTGTTCTCCATTATATATAAAGGTTGATATAAGGGAGGGTGCATATTAAGAAAGAGAAAAAGAAGCAGAATAAACATTTTCCAGCAATAGTATTAGAGCAATAAATGAGGTAGATTTAAACACACAGGTGCTTCCTTAACTCATGCCAATAGCTGCCTTAGAAAAATCAAGTTCACTGTCCAAGACAAGCATGGGTAATGTTTCAATTAAGAACTGTAGGTTTGCATATTTAAATTGCTCATGTGCATATCATTCATAAGTATGAATGAATACAAAACTATAGCTGTTTATTACACTGCACTTAAGAACTGATCCTTTGTACTTTAACTTAGAGGTAAAGCCCATTCTATTTAACTGGTCTTACTGTCTTGTACAATATATTTTGAGTTGCATCGTCAAATGAGAAAAATCCCTGTTCTGGAATTACAGTCTCATTGTTGTTAATCTTGAATTGGTCCCTAAATACAGAAGAACTTTGAAATAATAAACTGAAAGCTAGTGCTTCACAATTGGGCAGTTGAATTCAAAAAGCTTCTTACAATATGTATGCTGAAGGGTTTGGCTGCATTTGTTCTTCTGGTTTCCATATGAATATCTTGAGTTTGGAACTGAAAATGATCAAATTTAATATTTTCTCCTCAATAGCTATCTGCAGGGCTCAGCAAATATTCTTCATAAACAGGATAACAGATTATTCAAAGTACATATTATTTTATGGATCTTCTTGCCTTTCATTTCTCCAAAAATATCTCAGATTCTTTGATAGAGGCCATTAACTCTTTCCTCCCAAAATGTCTTCGAATAGATATAGGAAGAACTATTCAAGGCACTGATGCTGAAAGAATTGAAGCATGGGGGAATTTTCTTAATAGTCTTAAAGGCTACATAAAGTAGTTACATTAAAAAATCAATTTTTCTCCTATTCAATGAGAATTATGAAGGTGTTGAATTCAGTTTGATAATTAAGAACCAACAACACTTTGCTTTTCTCTTTGAAAACTAGTAGTAAATTGGAATATTTTCTATCAAAACACAAACAAGAAACTTCACACCAAATATTGATAAGCTCCCACCCTCCCCATCAAGACCAGAATTTAACGTAAGAGCCAACAATATTATTTAAGACTTTTGCTATTTTTACCTTTTGTTCTATTTCTAGTGCATTCACTAATAATCTCTGATGCCCTCTATACAGTTTTTAATATGCAGCCTACATTCTGTGCTGCGGGAGAACAACTAGTTTATTTTTAATTAGAATGGGGAAAAAAGCAAAACGTATCTCCCTCTCCCTCCACAAAAAAGCAAACCCAGTTTTCTAATTTGAGGAACTTTTCATAGAGCCTCCATAGTATGACACTTATAGACGCATAGGGATTTTTAGAAGAGATAAGGGGAAACATCAACAAATAAATTAATATAGTAGCCAATCCTAAATGAATCCATGGTTAACTTGTAGACTTGATCAACAACAGACTTGCTTAGAGGCAATCTTCCTAAGAAATCTTGGAAGGTACTGACCAAACTGGGTGCCATTCTGGCTGATAAGAGGAATAAAAGCTGATATATTATTCTGATAAGAAATGAATGCTGTTCATTTAAAAATAGGTGTCAGATGGGAAAAGAAGTGCAGATCAAGCGCTGGTCCCATCCTCTTCAATAACTCGGTTCATACTGGTGCCATGAGTTATGTGAGTTATTGGATTTCCACTGAGGTCTCTGGTGCTACTGTGACGTGACTGATCATTGAGCCGATGGGAACTGCTATGCCTGGAGTGGTCAGTCAATCGGGACATACTGCCATGAGGTAGCCGATCTTCAATTCCACGGTAACTGCAGGGGGTATATCTAATTCATAAAAACTTATCCATTTTAGTAATACAGACACATATCCATTGAAAATATTCCAATTATCTCCCAAATATATAAATTAGATAAGCAAAACTTAGATGTACTGCAGTTTAATCCAAACATTTTCATTTGTAGGACAGTTTTCTGTAAAAATAATTTAACACAGTTTATGACTTGTATGTAATATTGGTTCCACTTTTAAGCATACTTATTTTATATTCACAGAGGCACAAGTTAACCATGGATAATCTGAGTATAAGAAACTTGATGGATGGGACCACTTACCTAGGTCATAATTCTGTATTTTACAATCATCTATCAGATGTGCCATATAAGCCCATAATAAAAATATAAGAGCAGAGGTTTTTCCTGTTTTCTAACAAAAGAATGCTGACCTTAATCTAATCTTAGCCATGAGAACTGATGATCACTGATAACCATATTTTCCAGGACTTCTTTTTCTTTTAAAACCATTCCAGTTATTCTTTCCTGTTATTTTATTTATTCATTCAAATACTTTAATATTGCCCAGCTCAATCATGACTCCTGGTCGATTACATAAGATAAAACAGCATGAGTAATACAAATACAAGCAAAAATGAAAATAACAATAGCTCCCATGTATATTGATTATTCAAATAAATCTGAATGCCTGCTCAAAGAACTCTTCTTTCTTTCAGAAAATTGAGCGAATGGATGTTAGGCAAACCTCATGGGCAAAATATTCCAAAGCATGAGGGTCATAACAGAAAATGAGTGTCTTGATTCTCATGGGAACATAACTGACATCTTTCTCCTGCATGTATGCATGAACAAGGAAAATGTTACTTGGAGGAAATAGTTCCTAAGATACTTTGGAGCCAAGTCATATTTAAAGGGACTTTGAATTAGACCAGAAACATATTGACAGCTACTACAGTAACCCAATAAATTGTATAAATCCAAGATAGCACTTAACTGCTATCAGCCTGGTCACTGCATTTTGTACCAATTAAAACTTTTGAATCATTTTCAAAGACTGTCTCATATAGAGTATGTTATAATAATCTAATTCAGTGATGACTAGCACATCACTCACTGTTGTCAGAACAGCTTGATCCAAATAAGACAGAACTTGGTGCACCAATTTCAGCTGAGTGAGTATCTTTCTGGTCATGCATTTCACCTCTGAGAACCAGCTCCTTTAGAAGAGCTACGCCATCCATATTTGGAGATGGAACCATCATGCAAATATTTCTGGACAAATATCAACTTTATCTTTGTTTCTATCTTTCCAAAGACAGGATTAAAATTATTACTACATCTTCAATTCATTCTGGGGTACAATATAAAGTGTATTGAGAAACTAACAGGTGACCTCTTACAGCAACTTCTTATAGATATTAAAAAGAAGAGAAGGGAGAGAAGGACCATATAGTAACCCATGCTATAGCACATATCAGGTCAACAGCTCCTCCCCCAGCAATACTACTAAAACTACCTACTGTGATAGAAATGAATCTTCAACCCCAATCTGTATAGACAGTCCAGTAAGATACCATGATCAGTCCAATAGAACTAAGAGAGCCTCCTTTAAGGTTCCAACACAGGTTATTTACCAGAGTAACCAATGCTCTCTATTATTTGCCTGGGTCTGACCCAAATTGAAAAGGATCTAAATATCCATTTCCTCTAGGCTCTTTGCAGCTGAGCCACCAAAGGAAAAGGTTAGAAACAGGGTGATAGTTCACGATATGGTTAGACTGAGTAATGGCTTTTTCAAAATGCATCACTGACAGCCATTTCTAATAGTTTAGTCCATTCCACCTTTTTCTTTATCTGGTTGCCCCCCAGAAGTGTAGATTTCCATCTGCAATTCCAGAATTATCTGCCCAAATTATGCTGGAAGGCATTCTACTGTTGTATGATTAAATCTGGAATTAGTTCATATTTAATAACCAACTGGTTAGGATACACAAATATATAAAACTTGCATTTTGAAATCTTTATAAAATGCTCTAGACACGATTGCCCTCATTAATTAGTTATATATCACTGAATATATTACAGAATGGAATTGCTAAGAATTAGAACTTTTGATTTCCTACTTTGCACTGAATTTCTATCCAAGTGGAGATCTTGTAACAGAAGCTCTAGATATGTTTCAGACATATACAATGAACTTACATTACATTAGGAATATACCAGGTTAGGGAAAAATAGCTTAAACCCTAGAAAACTTGCTAAATTTTATTTCAAATTAGCGTATAGTAAGTAGAAGGAAGAATAATTGCCTACAACTGTTATCATTAGGAACCTTGACTCAATCATTTCACTTGAATTCATACTGCCTTGGTTTTAATAGGAATTTATACTCTGCTTATTTACAGGATAATATTTTAATTTCCTCACCTGCCATCTCGTGACCTATGCAAGCTGCCATGGTAACTACTGACTTTGCTATGCACACTGCCTGCTTTGCTTCGCTGGTCATCCATCATAGCCAATTGTGTAGAGGAGGCATGAGTAGAAGTCCCTTGGGTGGAAGTCCCTCTGGATTTGCGAATTATGGGTGTATTTGGATCTCTCAAGAGAGACTGAGCAAAGTCAGGTTCCTGAAGTACTTGCCGGCTCTCATTAACAACCCTGGTAAATATCAATCAGTTTAACACTCAAAGACAAATGGAAGCAGCAGCACGTAGAACAAGCTAGGCAACAAAAAGCTCTGACTATACTGCATGAATTCAGAAGTGCATATTTCTGTTATATCTATATCATTCAAAATTAAGGCAATGCATGACAGACAGGTTGAAAATGGTTAAAAATTACCACTACAATTTTAGCAGTTGCATTGTATCATTCCCAGAACACTACAGCCACCCAACAGATATAAGCTATTATGTTCTTGGGCACAATTTGATTGTTCAACCTGGCTGCTGTAGATTAGCTGCCATCTACCCAATACAATAAGCTTTGGGGAGGCATGGTATTATGGAGTCTTTAATTGTGCCTGGCAAGTAATGCAGCACAAGTTTGCTTTGTAACATATTATTTGGACTATGGAGATCTCACTAAGTTCAGTTTTGTTAGCACTTAATAATAGCACTTATATACCACTCCATAGTGCTTTACAGCATTCTTTAAGTCAGGGGTGTCAAACTGCCGGCCCACGGGCCGGTTTCATCATACCGAAGCTGCACCCACCCCATTGCCGGCAATGCAAAAAGAGTCGCAATATGTTGCAACCCGTCACGTGATGAGTTTGACACCTGTGCTCTAAGCGGTTTACAGAGTCAGCATATTGCCCCCAACAATCTGGGTCCTCATTTTACCAACCTCGGAAGGATGGAAGGCTGAGTTAACCTCAAGCCCATTAGGATTGACTCCAGATTATGGGCATAGTTAGCCTGTAATACTGCATTAAGTACTGCAGTACTGAACCACCATGGTTTTATTGCCCATGCTATTAACATTTATAATACATAACATTGCCAAGAAAAGACATCTTCAGTTTTGGAATACAATATCGTAGTATATGGCAACATGAACTGTTTTTTTACCCATAAATCCAAACAGATAATTTTGGAACTGAGGAGGGGAAACAAGCTAAAAATTCAGGAATTAAAACCAATGGAAAATGGGTTTCCTGGCCAGAAGGATTCAACTAATAGAGTTGCATACCTCCTAAAATCAAATTTATTGTTAGGTGTTTCTGGATTCATTTTTGATTCTGAAAGTACAGTTAATGGGAGTAAGCAGGTATGACATTTATGGATTTTGGCTAACATATCAACTAGAAAAGGCAGATTTGGCTTCTCCTATATTTCAACCTTCCCCACCTTCCAAGTATATGGACCTCAACTCACTCTTTTTTCCTGCGCCCATGAAAAAAGCTGGCCCATTCAAAGCAAGTCTTTTTACTTCCAACCCAAAAGACTGATGGGATTCCTACTACGAGAGCCATCAGATATTTCATAAGGAAGAGGATCAAGTCTGGTCGACTCATCTGGGTAACCTGTAAAAAAGAGGCAAATATAACAAACAGACAAAGTCTGCACTGATACAGTTTCAGGTATTAAATCATTTAAAAGTAATTACTATAGTCCAGTGTACCCAATTTTTTTCCTTTATCATCCAAAACTGCTTATCACAAAGTCTTTTATCCAATATAGATAAATGACTTTAAGTCAATTTAAATGACCCTGTTGTGATTGGGTAATAGGTTCATGTGTCACTACCCAAAGAAAGTTTTTGGCAATAGCACTATATACAACATCTGTAGTACTCCTGCATGAGAGATGTAAGAAAAAGGGCTGTTTTCTTGAAATAGTGTTCATTTTTAATTTGTACAATTAATTTATCAATCATTGCTGGATTGAGAATAGTATTAAATTAGTAAGGAAAAGGGAGTTGTTCACATGGTTCTACAAAAAGGATCTACATGGATACCTTATTTGCAAGTTTCTCATTTATATGAATTGTTTTTGTGCTTGAGCAATATTTGGTAAATATCACTCCTGTTCTTGAAGCAGAGGGAGCTGGACTGCCTACATGTAGAAATCTGGAGGCTTTTTCAATGTTATCTGAATCACTTATGGTTCCTGGACAATATGGTATTGAAGATATTAGAAAAGAGCATCAAGAAATGGTTAGTCAGTGAAGTGACTGTTGACCCTTCTGGACACAATGGGATAGAAACCTATCTAAAAATGCAGTGCTAATAGTTTGATCTCTGTTTCTGCAGTTGGTACTGTACAGTGTGTAAGAGACAAACATTCTGTGTAGCCATTAAAAGCTAGAGTCGTTTGTTGGATTTTTGATTTCTCAAATTTCAAATTGCAGCTGGTTCCTTTAGTCCCTTATCAATAATTTAAATGACATAATAGAACAGACCAGATGGTGAGAGAAAGTGAACAACTATAATCTGAAATTCTTCCCTGAAGAATAACTCTATATAGAAAAAAAAGAATATATTAGTGCCTTATTTAGACTAAGATAATCTGCTAGTCTAAGAAACTTAATTCTTAATATAAAAAGTAAAGTGCAGGACAAAAATTTACATGAAGCCATGGATGAGATCATCCATCACCATGGAGTGAGGTATCATCTGCTTGCAATAATCTTTCTTCCCCTGGTGACTTAAAAGATGCTGTTGATGTTCTATTCCAGTGCCTGGAGGCTCGGGGGATGAGGAATAACAGATTTCAGCTGAACCCTGGCAAGAATGATTGGCTCTGAGTATTTGGACCCTCTAGCTCAAGGATTATGCCATCTCTGGACTCTACAGGATTGCACTTGTCAGGCTCAGCCCAAGAACATAGAACAATCCAGTCAAAGTTCAGGTCTTTGTTTATACTCAATAAACAGAATCTTGCAAGATTAAACCTTCGCTACGCTTACCCCAATTGACATATCCTGGCAGATTCTAGGGAGTGGCTATCCTAACTCTCTTCCTTTGTCTCCTATTAAGCTCTATGGTTATGTGGCCTCTTGTCTTGTCCTTCTCCTTGGAATGTGCTACCGCCTTCTGGGGAAATTACTGCTTCACTGTAGTCCATCACAACACCTATCCTTCTGTAAGCACCTTCCTTCACAGCACTGTCCCAAACAGACCTGGAATGCAATTTGGGGTGAGAAGGGCTTTACAAGCTTCATGCTGTATGCCAATTGTGCCCGTTGCTGGACCAATAGGCTCTGCTTACAGTCACTCATTCCCTGATCATCCCCCAAGTGGACTACTAGACTCTCTCTAAGTGGGGATGCCCTTGGATAGCATACAGAAGGTTCAGCTGTTGCAGAATGCAGCGGCACAGACAGTTATGTCTGCCACTTAGAACAGCATGTTACATCTCTGCTCTTTGAGCTGCATTGGTTGCCGGTTTACTTCTCGGTTCAATTCAAGGTGCTGTTTTTGACCTTTAAAGCCTTTCATGGCATGGGGGTGAGTTATTTGAGGGATCACTTCTTCCCAATTATATCTGCCCGTTTCATCAGGTCCTCAGAAGAGATATGCTGTGGAACCCATCTGTGAAAGAATTTCATCTGGCAGGACCCAAGAGACATGCCTTTTCTTGCCATGGTACCCACCCTGTAAAACACCATCTGACCATAAGGTGAGACTGGCCCCATTCTTGATATACACCCAGAAATCTCTTCAGGCATGGCTATGTCAGCAGGTCTGGGCTATTTGATGGCTGTTTTTAAAATCAGTTCTCTCCATTATTTTATTAATAATACTGTTGACATCTTTTAATTGTAGTTTTTAACATTTTGATTTTTATTGTTTTTTTATTGTAAGCTACCTATAGTCATTTCATTGTGACTATAGTTATTGTGAGATAAAATTTATATATTTTAAAAAATCATTCAAATTCAAGTATTCTATAGGATCCTCATTTACCTATGTGCTATTCAGCATAGTTAAAAGGAGTATGCTCAAGGACCAACCCAGATCTAGGGATGGGAAACACAAAATAGGCCAATATAATCTACATTTCAAGCAAGACACATACTGAGTTTCTAAGCACTATCCTAAGCCACAGTGTGGTTTGTTTGGTTTTGGCCTAGAGTTCTAGTCCCACCTTAAGCATGAAAGCCAGCTGGGTGATTTTGGGCCACCCACTCTCTTTCAGCCCAACACATCTCACAGGGTTGTTGTTGTTGGAAAAATAGGAGGAGAAAGGAAAGAGCTACGCTTTGAGTTATTTATAAAAATAAAGGAGGAATATTTAAATAAATAAATAAAACACAATGTGCTGTTGTTTCCAACTACTAGCAACCACATAGATAAGTTTATGGACTATTATTGCTTGAATATAATTTCTTTGGATACTATCAGAAGTATTTTTGACACATTTTTTTTCTCAAATTCCAGCCACAAAAGATTATAGCATCTTGATATTCAATTTATTACATTGGAATACCAAACTAGAAGAGGAGGTTGACATGTTTTATGCTCAAAATTAATCTAAAATTGACAGAACATGCAAGTAAAATATGCTGTTTATGGTTGGAGACTGGAATGCCAAAGTTGGAAATCTATACACATAACCTTTTTTTCAAATGACCTTGTGAGATACACACAAAAGAAAGCACTATTATTCCAAAATCTTATTTACCATCTCATAATAGCATTTTATCAGCTTAAAAAAAGGCATTTAATAGCAATTGCAGTTCATTCCTTCTGAATGGGCTCTATTCAACATACTATAATAAAGACTGTTTCTGTTCAGTAAACCATCCTCTCCATTTCATACTGGTGTGTAATTCCCTCAACCACTTAACAGTCATTTGGCATGTTCAGTGTGTACTTCTCATAATTTTTCATGTTTGGTAAGTGCTTAGATCTTTACTTTGTAAATGCACAGAAAAGTACTGTATGCAATTCTATATGAACATGCTTAGTGCCTAGTGTATTTAAACTGTTTTAATGTAAATTATTTACATTAAATACTTTTCTTAACTGGAGGACTTTTTATTTCAGGGCATTTAAATTTAATTTTTTTTTTAAAAAAACCCAAATGATTCTATTTTCTCTGAAGATCACACATTCTAAAAATTCACATTCATGTTCACATTCTCAATTTCACTTTTCATTTTTTAAAACTGGATTTCTTCTGAGTCATATTTATAGTCATCTAATTATGTCAGGTAATATGTTTTTACTTGATAAATATATTGCAGGAGACTGGTACCAAAGTTATAGAATAAACAACATGCTATCCACCTTGAGGGACACAAAGAATGGAACATAAGGAAATAATTTAAGGGCTAGGCTCACTTACCTGATAAGGGCAAGGTATGTGATATTCCTTGCACCTTTCTTGAATCCATGTTGTCTCCCACACACTTCGGTAAGCTTGTTCATAGAAATAGCAGCCAATGACAACCAACAGTGGCACAAGATACAATACACTGAAGACGCCAATTCGAATCATAAATTTCACCAACTTGTCCTGGTTTTCCTTCTCTAAGGGAATTTCAATACGAACCCGATTTAAAGAAATGATGCCAGCAAGTAGCAAAGAAACTCCAACCACCACATACAGGCAGAGAGGAGCAAGAACAAAGTATCTCAAGGCATCTACATCATAAAGGCCAACAAAACATACTCCACTGATGTTATCACCTTCTATTTTATTCATAGCTAGGAGAATGATGGTAAGGGTTCCAGGGATGCCCCAAGCACTAGCATGGAAGAGGAGGGCTTTCTTTTCAATGGCTTCACTACCCCATTTTGGGACAGCTGCCAAAAACCAAGTGATGGTAAGAATCACCCACCAAACACTCCCAGCCATGGTAAAGAAATACAGTACCATGAAAAGCATTGTGCATGCTTTATTGTGAGAGCCCTGTGTCACTGTGGAAGCCTTGTAAGTGGCAGGGCCGGAGGCATTGCAGGCAACCCGGTCCTCTAGCAAAAAGCCAATGAAGAAAATTAGGGACACCATCATGTAACAAACAGCATAGAAGATTATGGGTCTTTCTGGATAACGAAATCTTGTGACATCAATCAGGAAAGTCAAGAAAGTGAACAAGGTAGCGGAAAGGCAGACAATGGAGATCACACCAATGAAGTATCGTGCAAAAGAAAGTTCTTCTTGTCTAAAGTACATATTTGGACAAGGAGGCGAGCAGTCCCGTACCCGCAGGAATGTGTAGCCCAGATCAGGGTCTATTTTTAGTTCTCGAGGGCACCAAAAACCATAGTCTCTTTGCACTTCCACTGTTGCTTTTTCTGTTGTTTCCCCAACTACATTGAGATCAATGGGACGAGGGTAAGGCTCATCACAGTCTGGGAACCTAGAACAGCAAGACCAAAAGACTAGTTATAATTTTTAAATATAAGCAAGCATTTTTGCTTGTTCTGGTTGTTTAAAAAAGAATTGATTTGAAGGAATAGTCTAAGAAGAAATAAAATTATAGGATTCTATGGCTAGAAATCAAATTCTTATACAAATTTTAGTTTAATAATTTCATATATCCAACTATCAGTATCAACTTCTTTTCAGAGGCTTATAGCTGAAGATTTGCCTGATTTCATGTTAAAAATTATATTTAGTCAACTACATTTATCCTTTAAGAGATTTTTGTAGCTAACCAAGAAAAACAACCAACCAACCATCTTAAAAACATTTAAATGAATAATAGAAAAAGATTATTGCTTTGTGTGTATATTTTTGTGGCCAGTAAGGCACTGGAGTTTGCCATGTCCATTGTGCAGTTTTCTGTGTCTTCAATCAATTTTAGAGTACAAAAGCTTCAAAAACAAATGTGGAATCCCTTGTTTTACACAATTTGCATCATCAGGTCCTTTAGTCCTTTGTTGTTAAAATTCAGCATAATGTATAAAATACCTGAAATACTAATATTGCACTGCTTATCCAATGATATATAACCAAGATATATTTTTCCTGGTTAAGCATATAAATAACACAGATGTATTCCTATACTTTTGCTCCTGAATTTTTCATTCAGAATTTGTTACATCCTTTATCAGTTTTTTCTTAGTATTTATACAACATAACTTTCAACTCTACTAAATATTCTACCCCATATTTTTTCAGATTTTAATTCTGGAGTCTAACAACTGGACTGAAAAAGTCTGTAGGCATGATTTCTCTCTGAGATTTGTACTGTGGAAGTTACATGTTTCTTTTCATTGACTTGAAGGCCAATGTAATTGGTTTCAAATTTATACTTGACTTTTGTTCACTTATAAAGCCAGAAGAAGCTTCTATGTAAGTGGTACCCCTATGTAGAAGCTGCTTTCAGCTTTGACAAAGGCATGCTAGCAGTGTCCTCCAAAAGCATTCACTGGAGCTCGTGATAAGTTCTCTAAAGAAACTGTGCCTAGGGTGGGCTATAAAACATGGTAAAGCCATTTTTCTAACACCATGATTCTTGATTAAAAATTAATGTAAAACTTTTCAAGTATGATAATGTAGATCTGAATATATATCATGAGAGCAGGGAGCTCAGGATTGGTTTCATCACAGATATATGACATGTCTGAAAATACATCTTGGAAAAACATTACATAGCAGGTGATAATTTTAATAAACACAAATCTTGAGGATTCACTCACCTGTTGCATTCCATGTCTTCAGGCCAAGACACACCAAACATCTCCATGAGCTTTGAACATTCACTATATGCTCGTTGACAAATTCTGCGACATGGGAGGGTGACTCTACCGTATTCCATGCAAACAGGAGCATAGAGAGCACATAGGAATGGTCGAAAGTCTCGGGAACAATCAAGGTTTACCATAGGATGAAATGGCTATAAAAAAGAAGTAAAAGTAAGTAGCTCTGAGCCAATATTTCAACAACCAAATTCTGTATTGTGTACTGTGATTTTTCAGAATCCTTACAGAGTTTTGAGAAAATAGGTAAAATAACATGTCAGACAAAAAAGCAGGAAAATTCTTTAAAAAAAGTTTAATATTAACTCCTTTTTATTGTGCCATTTCTGACCAATATAACTCTATGTAATTTGTGATTTAAAGCTGAATGCTGCCCATCTGCCAAGAGCATGATATACCCTCTCCCAATTTATTATACAATAAGTTATACAATATTTATACGATGACCTATAAAATAATCAATTCCATGATGCCTTCAATATTTTACTGTTGATCTGCATCATAATACATAAGTTATATAATAGGTTTTCATGAGATATATTGATAAAGTATATCAACCAGACAAAAAAATGCTACACACTCAGACACAAACCTCCTTTTCTTGGGGTGTGTGTTTGTTAACTTCTTACATTTTTGGCAGTATTGGATTTATACTCCCAATTATTCAATGTATAGTCAGTCAAAATTAATCAAATGTTTATACCTAAAATATTGAACACTTAAAATATCAGCTTATTCTAGGTAGAAAATAACTTTAACATGAGTACAAAGGATTCTACCCTTCTTTGGCAACATAATAAATGCATTAAACCAGAATTCACATTCAGATTAATAATTCTTTAGAAAACAGGCAAATATTAAATATTTAGATAGCATATTCAGCCAAGTATCATATTTTTATGTAGAGAACTTGGAGAAAAGAGGTGGGGAAAAGTAAAAGGAAAACAAGGCAATAATACTCGGTTGAATATTGCTTGAAAAACAAATATGATTACAACTGCAGACATAGCTGAAGAAAATAATGTACTGATAATGAGTTAGAAATTAGGAAAATCTTGACTGAAATGACTACCAAAAACCCCCACTTGGTGGTGCTTGAACAAATCATTCCCTCTTAATTTGGTCTTTTTCAGAATTTTTGAGGTTGTAATAATACGTATGATATTTAGAATTATTTGGAGGAAAGGTGGAAATCAGACGTGAGGCAGTATCTCAATTTCATATTCCAATATTATTATACACTGTCTAGACATAAGAAGCACTGGAAGACAAGCTGTCAGCACTTCCAATGACAGCCAATATTCCCAGTGAATGCATATTATTAGAGTAATGTAAATTCTGAATAAGTAACATATATGCAGAAAGTCATTTTATCAGTCTCTTACCCCTTTGGCACTTTAAATGCAGGATTTAGGAGAAGGATTAATTCTATGGCCAGATTTTAATTTGAAGCCAAAAGCAATATATTATGAACTAATATTTCAAAAATTATTACAGTATAGAATCCTTACAGAAGCAGCATGGGCTGATAAAAATCTTGAAGTTTAATGGGGGAGATATTAACACTATGAAATACTAGAAGGGAGAAAAAGAGAAGGGATGTTTTAATAATACATTTTTAGCTTGAATTTTTTTAAAAAATAAAAAAATATATCATGCAAAGAAAAGCATGTATATGAAGGCAGCTAGCAGCAAAAGGCTGTTTCTATAAAAGGGCAAAGGAAGCTTTATTCAAACAGTTTTTCTCTTTTAATTTTTAATTAGTATACTCCATTATAATCAGTGTCAAGATAGTTTATGTACCTCTTCTGCTCTTTTAATAAAAATGAATTGCATTTTAATAGGATTCTTGCCTATGCTTATATTTATCTTAAACATAGAGGAAATATTCATATTCTGAATCCCAGTAGCATAATTACTTCCTTTACCCTTCCTCTAAGAGAGAAAGTGTAAAAATATATAGTCCCAAAAATACAACCTCCCACATTTCTTTAGCTCACAATCAATTACATAATATACAAAATATAAATTAATTCAATTTTCTTATAGATAATTCCTCTTGAATGCATGGCAACTGCTCATGCCTAGGCAAGTAAAATTTTTCTCCTCCCTCCTTTCAACTGTATGTATTCTGAATTTCAGTTGGAATCTTCTCTGCAAAAAAAGAAACTAAACAGAAACACAGTTTAATACTTGTTTTGCTGTTGATCACTGCCTTTGACATGAACAATTTAATTTCACCCAAATCAAGAAACAGAAAACATAAACAAGTTTATAACCTGGAAAAAGTTCTTTTCTACTAACCAATTACTGATCCTTAAAGTTCCAAGGAATCTTCCTCCTTTATTTACATTCAAATTAATAAGGTTTGCATGTTCTATTCAGTCTGCCCCCTCTTTTTAGTGTTCCATACCTATTACCATGGGAACATTGCATTCATAGAATATCAAGCCTACCACAGGCCAAGATTAGTCTGAGGTGTGAAAAGGGTAGAGTCAAAGGGTATAATTTGGCTCATGAGAATCAGAACACTAACCTTTGTCACACCACAAAAGGCTGGTAACCATAGGAACAATTATCAAAGAAAAAAGGTCTTGCTAATATACACAGAGATATACAGCAGAGGCAAAGATACCATGAAATATACAATCATGGCAAATACACAAATGAACTTTACCCTGATTTATCAGGGAGTTATGCTGAAATAAGAATTTGAAAACCCTGCATGCTACGAAATAGCAAATCTATCCCTGGAATACATGGCAACACTTAACATTTAAATCCTAATATAACTACTTTTTTCTGCCATTCCAATAACTCATATGTTGGAGCTTTAAAGAGATTAATAACTAAGGGAAAATATAGATGAGGCTTTTATCATAACATCACTGTTTTCATTCACAGATTTTCACTGTGGTTCCAGATAATTTAAAAGTCCTCCACTGAAACTCCCACATTTCCATATTTCCATTATAATAGGGAACGTTTTGGGGTTTAGGGAAATTCTGGATGGATATGTAAAGCTTAAAAGAAAAGCAACAGAAAATTATATCTGCTTTTCTTAATAGTTTGCTATTGAAATACAGCAGCATGATTTCTGAGAATCACAAAATGATTTGTTAGCTGCACAGTGAACTTGAACTAAAAAATATATTGGGGGGGATGTCTATGGAGTTTCTATTGGGCTACTTAAAATTACAATGCACATTTCTCATGATTTTCAATAAAATAATTATATTCTTATTCAGTTCTCCTACATTTTGAATTGGGTGGCTGAAAAGCCAGCAGCCCAGCTCAAGATCCAAGTACCACATGACAGGGTGAGCTTCCATTGTCGCCCTAGCTCCTGCCAACCTAGCAGTTCGAAAGCATGCAAATGTAAGTAGATAAATAGGTACCACTTCAGTGGGAAGGTAAAAGTGCTCCATGACCATTCATGCTGGCCACTTGACCATGAAAATGTCTTCAGACTGCACTGGCTCAATGGCCTTGAAACACTGCCCCCTAGAATTGGCAATGACTAGTAGAGTAAAATAAGCAGGGACTCCTTTTTTTAACATTTTGAATTAATTCTAATATTAAGACATTAAACGTTGATTCTAAAACAAAGCCAACATTTAAATATAAAATTGCTTCAAAATAAATATTATTGAAATAAAATCTTCATATTTTATTTATCATCTTCCATTCAGCTTGCTGAGGGAGATGGAAGTTTTAATATCTCAAGGGCATCGAGTTCAGGAAGTTGATAATAGCATAAGACAAGCAAAAACCATGAAAAATGGTTGAGGAAGGAACCAACTGTTCCAGAAATAATAAAAATACCACAAAACCCCAAGCAGCAATAGAAGCAAAACAACTACATAACTCAGTGATGGCAAACCTTTTAGAGACCGAGTGCCTAAACTGCAACCCCAAATCCACTTATTTATCACAAAGTGCCAAGATGGCAATTTAACCTGAATATTGAGGTTTTAGTTTAGAAAAAACAACTCATACATTAACATCTTTTGTCTTAAAAGAAAAACACAATAACAAAACTTTCAATGATACAAACAACTTTTTATTGAAAGGTAAAAGTTTGCATTTGGCATGATTTTGAACAATTAATGTGATTTTTGCTGTTGTACGCATGCTAATAATTTGTCTAACCTTGGCTCATACTTTGTAAATTTGAGAGCAACACATGCAGCACTCAGGTCATCTGTTAGTCTGTTTCTGGTGTCAGATTCAAAGCTGAAAACAGCTGCTCACAAGCATAAGATGATCCAAACAAGGTAAGGAAAGCAATCTCAAGTGCTTTCATTGACTTCAAATTATTTGGCAGAGAAGTCCACACTTTAAGGATTTCATTTTCAGAACTAACTGTGCTGTCCTTTGTCATCCTTGTTTTCACAGGATTGTTCTCAATAAGAGCAAGGTGCGCTTTGGCTCCGTTTTCACCAGGAAGGGGCTTGGGAAATGGCTTTTTACTGGTGAAAACAAGCCTCTGAGCCCTGATGCTGGCAGAGAGAGGCAGCGGAGGCCACAGCAGACCCTTCCCCATCTCCCCTCGCTTCCCCAAAGCCTCCCTTCAAGCTCTGTTCTCAGCCACTGCGTGCAGGGCAACAAAGAAGCTTGTGGGACTACCAGTTAAAAAAAGTTCAACCAGACCTTCCAACTTTGCAAGATCTTTTTTTTTTCCCACAAGAAGTTGGAAGGTCAGATTGATCTTTTTTTTTTAGTCCCCACAAATTTCTTTTGTTGCCTTGCACACGGAGAACAGAGCTGGAAAGGATGTTAGTGAAGGAATGTTGTTGCCTTGGGGTGTGGGGGGTTAGGATTTGGCATTGTGGATGCCCTGGGTTGTGGTGTTAGGGTTTGGCATTGTGGATTGTGGAGTGTTTGTGCTCTGGTGGGGCTATTCAAAACACAGGGATTCCCTGTATTTTGAAGCACCCTGTGTGACTGCCTGGAAAGAGCACTCTGTTTCTCAAGCGCCCCATTCCAGGCATACAGAACTTGCAGTCTCTGCCAGATCTCTGTTGGGATAAAATCTTTTAGCTCCTATAGAGCGCTTCCAAACACAGCCGGTCCCTGTGTTCGGAAGCACTCCATAGGTGCGGAAACATTTTTTTATCCCAACAGAGATCTGACA